AGAGAGAGAGAGAGAGAGAGAGAGAGAGAGAGAGAGAGAGAGAGAGAGTGTACACTCCCAGAAGCCCTGGCTTGCCACTCTGGATTTGGGTGGGACAATGGCACAGGAGGGTACACACCACTTCTGTGCAAGAATCAGAGGGTCAGGAAGAACTGTGGACATGTGACCACCTCCTGCCGGTCCCTGTATGTGCAGCTACTATGTACATGGGGTCCCTGTGCCCTCGGAGCCTGCCCGGGGGCACTCTGGGTAACAGAGGTCAGGCTTTGGGTCCAGACACATCCTGTTGGCTGAGGACTGAATGGGGTCACCCACTCTGTGAATGAGACTCTAGAGAGCCACAAGTTATCAAAACAGAGATGACTCTTTATGTCAGCTTGTGGGCCCCCAGGGGCCCCCAGAATCCAGGCCTCAACCTGGCACTGTGCCTGCCTGGGAGTGCAATTTCAGGCCTTTGAAGGGTCTTAAAGGTTCTTAGAGTCGAGCTGGGGCCACATCCTTTCCTTCCATATCCAGGAGAGACCCCAGGAGACTACGTTTTCTGTTAAGACCTGATCCAGCTGCTTAGTGTTATACTGACAGAGAGATGCCATTGACAAGCTCTGACCTTCCAGAGTCTTCTCATACTGAGCTCACTACAGGACTGGGGTGGAGCCACGGGACAGTCCTGCACCCTATCTGGCCCCACACATCAGATGTAGACCCCAGCTGGACCCTCCATCCTCTTTTCTCTTGGACCTCAGTCGGGCTAGGTTGAGACAGGGGTTCCTGGGAGGCCATGCCCACAGGTGACTTGCTCTGGGTACGGGTCATAGATGCTACAGTTGGGTGTGGGGCCATGGCAGTAGACGTTGAGGTAGCCTCGGTACTCCTTCCTGTACGGATGATCCTTGAGGCACAGAGTCAGGTTCTTGTCACACTCGCACGTCTGCTTGTCACACTCGGTCTCATTGAGCTCAGCTGTCATGGAGAGAAGGTATGGGGTCTGGGTGATGCCAAGACAAGAGGGGAGGGAGGGAAGCTGACTCTGGGAACCTAGTGGCCTTTGGGGTATGACTTCAAGCTGGTAGGTCTTGTGCCACCCTGGCCCTTAGGGTGCCCTGCCATGGCTAGGGCCCCATAGCCTCGTGAGTGCCTTTAGCATAGAGTAAAACTGGAGAATGTCTGATGTCCGATGTGGCCATTGTATAGTTGGGATAACCAAGGCTGCAAATGAGGGATAGGGGAGCTGGAGAGATGGCTCAGCGGTGAAGAGCTCTGGCTGTTCTTGCAGAGAACCCAGGTTTGGTTCTTGGTGATCACATCAAGTGGCTCACAACCGCCTGTAACTCTGATAACAGACTCTGTCGCCCTCTGCTGGCCTCTATGGGTACATGCACACACACGGTGAGCATACAGACAGGCAGGGACACATAAATACACATAAGTAAAAAAATCTACAAAATTAAGAAGAAAGGAAAGGGGTAAACCCACCCCTATCTGTCACCTCCTACTCTCCCAGACTCCTCCCTTCAGTGGAATAATCAGACAAGCCCCCACTTTCCTAGGGAGTGATTAGAAAGGGCCAAGTAACAAAAGGTAGTTCTTACCCAAGTTCTTGCTGCTTGTTCTAATTCCTCATTTTTTGCTGATACCAATTTGAAACCAACAGCTAACTTAGTGTCAGTGTGTCTCATTTGGGATAGTCTTATCCCAAAAAAACATTTTTCATGGTTTGTCTGAAATCCAATTTAGTGGGACATCCTTGGTTTATGTTAGGATTCCCTGTCCCCTTGGGGTGCTAAAGCCCCATCTAAGCTGTGGTGTCAGGGGAGGGAACTCACTGCAGACAATCACAGTGTCATTGTCGATCCTGTGGTCATAGTGGTCCACATAGGGGCGGCAGCCCTGGTCAAAGAGCTTCTGATAGCAACAGTCATGGGCGTGGCAGCACCTGACAGGGGCAGAGGTGAGCAGACAGGTGTGGGTCGCTGGCCTGGGTCCTTTCCCCCCAGCAGAGACCTCAGACCATCTGCTTTAGTCCCTGATGATCTTGGACTACAGTTCAGGGGAAGAGAGGAGCAGAGGTACATCCCTAGGTCACACAGTAAAGCAGAGCTGCCATTGACGCCCTGGATTCTTGTCATTGATCATCTTTGTCAGGGCTCTAAGGTCAGAGCAGAGCTATAAGAGGAGTCAGGTGTCTCAGCAGCCCAGTCACGGAGGGAGGGTAGGAAGGAAGCCATGGCTTTCAAACACCAGGAAGTAGCTCAGACTCCATGCGGAGGTCTGATTGTGCTGAACGGCCAGGGAGGGGATGGGACAGGGGTGGGGCCAACAGGCAATGGGGCGATGAAGGATAAATAAAGAACAGTTATCCTGCCTCTTCTAAAAGCGGGCAGCTGACTGCCAGCTCCCTGTGGCACCAGACTCTTTGCTGACCGCTGCTAGGGAAGTGTGAGCAGAAGCCATGGCTTCCGGGGTCTCTTAGTCTGAGGGAGGAAGCATGGTCTGATGGGGGCGGCTTCCATGATGTCCCTTGCCATTGTGGAACATCAGACCTGGAACCTCCTTGTCTGTAGGAGGACTTAAAACGACACTTCTTCATCGAGCAAGAAGATTGAAATACGGAAAACAAAAGCGTCTACGCCATCAATGACGAAGCTCCCAGCCCTTCCTCCTCAGCCTGTCTGTCACCCGCTCCCATCTCTCACCACAGGAGGCCTCCAGAACCTACCAGTCTAACTCATCCATGGGGTGGCCGCGTCCCCCCAGCCCACAGTAGCAGCCGTAGCCCACAAAGGACAGGATGGGGTTTCTGTGTGTGATGGCCTCCACCATGGACTTCAGGTTCAACAGGCTGCAGTGGGCCATGGATACAACTGCAAGAAAGTTGGGAGTGTAAGTCTAGCCTGGGAGCTCCTCAGAGCCAAGGCACGGAGTGAGACGGGAAAGAGGAGGAGGGATGGGAGGGGAAGACACATACAAAATCCTGTAGGCTGGGTTGTTATTCACTCCAGCCAGGAGGACCAAATATGGTTCATGTTAGCTGTAGGCCAGGCAGTGTTTCCTAAGCCCTTGCCTTTGCTAACTCATTGTGTTCTCACTGTAACTCCTGACAGCGTTGTTATCACATTTTTACAGATAAGCAAATTGCTGCTGGAACCCTGAGTAACTTGCCTAAGGTCACATGATGTAAGGGAACCTGGACCCAGGGCTCCTCAGCCACACCCTCTGCCTCACAGGCAATGGCTTCTGATGGAGCTACTTCCTGATAAACACAGAGTAACGTAAAAATACTAAAAGTCAGACTCATGTTTCAGCTGGGTTTGAGGGTACATGGTCTACCTACTCAGGAAGTAGTCTGAGGCAGGAGGATTGAACACGCAAAGGCTGCCTGGGCTATAGACTGGGTTCAAGACCAGCTTGAGCGACTTAATGAGATCAGAGACCACTCCCCCAAGAGGTCATTCCGAATTCACTAGAGAGGGTCACAAATGCCACCTACTGTCATGAGTTATAGGAATTTGATTCTTTATACCCTCTTCATGACCTCTGTCTGGTGTCTCTGTGGCTCAAGGGGAGCCAGGGTCCCTGCCAGCACTCCTGGAGTAGGGTGTCTCCGCACAGTGCACACAGAGGAAGCAATGCAAAGTCACTTCTGCCTCCAGCACACATCAGTTTCCAGGCAGTGGCCAGGCCCTCTATCCATTCATCCTCCTTTCCTCTGTCAACTGCTTCCCTCTCTTGTGGTCCCCTGTAAGGTGTGGCTCTCACTGAGCTATCTATCCTGAGCCAGTGCAGTGAGCCTGGGGCCTGCAGTCCCTACCTGAGTGAAGCCACTCACTCCCCCCCCCCACACACACACAAGCAGGAAGGAGGTCTTATCCTCATTTGCAGGATGAAAAAACTAAGGCTCAAAGATTAAAAAGGCTTGCTCAGGTGGCACAGGCTCATAGTAGCAGAGTTCAGGTAGAAACCTGGTCTGTTGTCCTTAGCTCTATGCTAAGCCAGATGATATGGAACCTGTGTGCATGCAACCTCACTCTGGTCTGCTCTGATTGCACATGGAGTTAGGCAGCCAGCTCAGTACCTGGCCCTTGCTCACCCCACATCCCCCAACCTCACGGACAAGGAAATGTCCTGAGAGACATTAAACCCATAGTGAGAAAGGAGGCTGGATGGACCCCAGTGGGCCTTGAAGCACCTGGTTGCCACTTAAGGCCCTGGCTGTCTCCTCCCCTGACTTAGAAGCTCCATTTCCCATTGTAGCCAGAGGCATCTTGCCCTGGGGGTAGGGTATGTGCAGCACTGGGCTCCTAGCCCTGTCAGCTCTCACAGGGTGAGAGTAAGAAGCATATATGATTATGCAAAGGACAGACACACTCCCTTATAATTACACACACACACACACACACACACACACACACACACTTCCTATATACATCACAATGTTATCAAGTATGACACTAGGGAGAATCAGTCTATCCAGAACTAAGACCATGTCCACAGGCAGAAGGAATAGCTCATGTTCAGCCTCCTGGGACCAGTGGTTTGGGAGAGACATGAGGGGTTGTTTTCTAAATGACAGATCATTTTGTCTGACTGCATCAGCCCTTTCTTGTATCTGGCCACAATGGACCAAGGGGAGCCAGGAATGCAAGGTAAGGTTAGGCTTGTGTTAGGAGCCTCACTCAGCCATGTTTCTGATCCAGGAAGTCCTGGGTATCAGCCCTAGGAAATGAGTTTACAGACACACACACACACACACTCATGTATACACCCCCATTGTCACTCACACACTGTGGACACAGACATCACAATGAACACAGGTGTACACCGAGACGCCAGCCAGCCAGCCAGCCAGCCACGAGCCTTGCTTTACTGACGTGTGGGGCCTACAGACATCGTGTATGCCCAGACACACCCACACTCATGCACAGACATGCATCTAGCTGCACACAAACTCATTAACTCCTGCCAGCACGGAAAGTCACTAATACATACATATGCTCGGGCCTACGATGATAGCAAACACTGCCAGTTTACAAGGCTTGCTTTGCTCTCCGCCCCTGCCCAGCAGAGCTTGTAAAAACAGGAGGCTCCTGGCTTGTTTACAGGTGTCCAGAACCAAACAGCCCCCAGAGGACAGGATGAAGCCTGACAGGGAAGGGGAGAGGCCCAGAGAGAGGAAGGACCTGCTTTCCAGTGGTACAACACAGGCACCCACAACCTAGGCACCCGGGTTTCTAGGAAAGGGCTGGGGGAGTGGGAGTGGGGAGCAGGTAAACAGAAAGGTCTCCTGGGAGCCATGCTCACCACTGCTGGCCAGGACTGCGATGGCGAAGAATTTCTTCATACCCAGGCTGGACCTGAGAAAGAGGAATAGCCATCCTGAACCCTCCTCTACAATTGCCCGTAGCCTGTCTCACCCAAGGCCTCACCCGTGTTTTCTCTTGTCCTAGTTACTGCCACCCAGCCCTGTGATCAGCACCTCCCCACCTAGCCTGTGTCTCCTAGGAGGGACACACCCCAGAGTGGCAGAGCCACCAGAACCAATTTCAGCTCCAACTTTGAGCTCCAAGATAGGAAGCCATTGCCCCACACCAGGGCCAGCTCTCCTGAGTTCATACATACTCTAAGGAGTCTTAGGACTCTAGTCATGGGGACCCCACCTGGAAACTGGATCTTAAAAGCCAAAACCAAGAGACCTGGGTCACTGGAATCTAGTTCCAGCTATGCAAATACTGAATGACCACAGGCAGATATCTCAGACTCTCCGGGCTTCAAGAGCAGAATGAAGTTGACTAAATGGTCCCAAAGCCCTTCTAGCTCTAGAACATGGCTGGCCACGTCTGCTCAGCATGCAGGAACTCAGAGATCTCCTTCCTAGAGAACCTACTCCAGGAGTAGATCCCTTCCCCTCAGCTGCCTCTCTTCATAGAATGGTCCGTTCCAGAGCAGCACACACCTACCTGGAGGTTTTAGAAGGAGAGGTCCTGAGGCTTGGGCTCTTCCGTCCAGTGGCGTGTTTAACCAGCACCTTCTTCCTGAACCCTTTGGGGTCGACCTGTGCCCCATCTGCCATGTCTTGGATTTTGGAAGACCAGCGACATAGAGCTTGAGAGATCCTTGATATACCCAGAAGTCTCTGGAGAGCAGGCCCCAGCTTCACGCTGTCACAAACACTAGCAGGGTAGTGCCAGGGCAATGCCCCTGGGCAGGAGGCAGATGACGGATGTCCTAGAAACAGCTGGCTCCACCTCCTCCCTCCCACTGCTACAGTCCTTCCCACACCTGGCTGGTGAAATTTGCACCTCACATCAGCCTACCCAACCCCTTGGGCTTGGGAGTGGGGTGTATCGATTGAGAATTAGCCCTACCCCCTGCACCTGAAGCAAGGGCTGAGCCCTCTCCATCCCCAGCTGGAAGATGCTAAGGAAAATGTTACCCAACAACATTTGTCAGAGAAAAACAAGAGGTACTGACTTCAAGGGACCTTCCTATAGGGAACACCGCACTAGGACCTTTTGGGGGAACACATGAGATTGGACTCACTTCCAAATACAAGGCTAAGATAAGAGGGTTAAGTTCCCAGAATGCACAAGGGTTTGGATCCACCCACAGCAGAAATCCAGTTATAGTGGCACATGCCTGTAGTCCTGGCACTTGGAAGATGGAGTCAGGAGAAGCAGGAGTTCAAGTCCATCTTCACCTACATAGCAAGTTTTAGGTTACCCTGGCCAACATAAGATCATGTCTCGAGGGGGCGAGGGTAGAGAAGAGTCGGAATGTTGCCTCAGTGGTTAAGAGCACTTGCTGCTCTTGCAGAGGACCGAGGTTCAGTTCCCAGCACCCACACTGCAGCTTACTCCAGCTTCATGGGATCCTGTGTCCTCATGCACTGGGCATGCAAGTGGTCCAGACACACACACACACACACACACACACACACACACACACACACAAAGCATTCATACACATAAAAATAAATAGAGGCTGGAGTGATGGCTCAGCAGTTAAAGGTACTTATTGCCCTTGCAGAGGACCGAGGTTCAGTTTCCAGCACCCACATGGTGTCTCACAACCATCTGTGACTCCCGTTCCTGGGGCTCTGATGCCTCTTCTGACTTTGTGTGTAGTACACATACATGCACTCAGGCACATACACATAAAATAAAATATAATAGTAAAAAAAAGCTGGGTGTGGTAGTGCACACCTTTAATCCCAGAGACTTGGTAGACAGAAGGCGGATCTCTGAGTCCCAGGCCAGCCTGGTCTAGAGTGAGCTCCAGGTCAGCTAGGGCTATACAGAGAAACTCTGTCTCAAAAAACAAACAAACAAAAACCAAACCAACCAAACAAAAAACAGGTAAATCAAATAGATACGTTTTTATTTTTGTTTTGTTTGTTTGTTTGTTTGTTTGTTAAAGAAAAAGAAGTAAATAAAACTAGGCATAGAGAATGGTTCATGGATACAAAATTGTGGAGAGAATGTGACAGTAGCAAAGGTTCCAGCTAAGCTGCCTGGACAGCTTTTCCTGGAGAAATCAGGGTGATTACCCCAGGGGATGTCAGAGGCTGAGGAGCTTCTCAGACATGGGAGATGTCAGAGAGGAACAACAGATCCCAGCCAAACCATCCTTACAGGTCTCTAGCTAGAAATGGACACTGCAGATACCCACAAAGAAGCCTAACGAAATGAAGCCATCAGAGGACGGCTCATTAGAGAGTTCAAAGGAACCCAAGTCTGTCCAAGTGAAGGAGACCTGTTGATGAGGGGGCTTTGGGTGGACAAGTACCTGTCCCCTGTCCTGATGGACAGAATCCCCCTCATATCTGAAGGGGGCTCCAATCATTCATGAACATGTTGGTGGCCATCTCCCCTAGACTGAGACAGGAGGGGCTCAAGCACTTGCATTCGGTAGAAAGCCCCCAGCTCACCTGCACTGTCAAGGGCAAGGCCTCTCGGGGTTCTTTTAAAACCTGTCCTACTGGGTAGCAGCTACAATCATTGTGGCCATCTAGAACACCGCAGGGCTTCAGACAGCACCTCTGGCCTCCAGGCTCAGCTCTCCTACCTCAACCCTGAATTTTGTCTGTCTCTCCCTCTCCCTCTCCCTCTCCCACACACACACATACATACATACACATAGAGAGAGAGAGAGACACACACACACACACACACACACACACACACACACACACACCCTGCAAAATGTCTTTGAAAATCACTATAAGTCCCTGAATGATACCATAGTCTCTGGTGGAGGGTCTGGTGAGTTAGGGTATTCGCATCAGTTGCTTGTTTGTTTGCATGTGTGACTGGTCTCTGTCATTAGTGTCTACTGTGTGGTCTCAGAAAAGAAGACAGGGCCTGAGATCTGGGAGCTGCCTAAGCAGTCTGAGCAGGGACCGATCCTCCATCTCCAGGCTGAGACCTTGGCCAGTGGGCCTGCTTCCCTGTTCTGTGCCCCACCCCACCCCCAGCTGTGGGGTCAAGGTACCAAGACTTCCTTCCAGAAATTGTAATGGCCAAGGGCAAGTACTCGTGCTATGGGGCATGCACGGGGCTCAGTTTTAAAGAATGGATTGTGACAAGGGCCTGGAGTGAACTAGGTTGGGAAAGTAGTCCTGTTGGAAACAGCACTCCATGTGGTCCCTTCATGAACACATCTCTCCTTGTCCAGTGTTTCCAATGCTCTTGACAAAGGTCTCCTGACGTGTCTCTTTCTCCTTAGGACTTTCAGACTTCCTCTTCTGGCTGTCCTAAGCCAGTGGGGTTATCTCAGGCATCCTTCATTGTCCCCCACCATCCCTCCTGTCCCCAGGAAGTCCCCCGCAGGCTCCAATCACACATCTACACATGGGAAGGCTCTAATTTGTATTTGGACATGCGCTCCTTTGCTGGCTCCTGTGTGTTTTGGTTTGTAGACCTTGACACAGATTGGGGAGCCTAGAGAGCAGGCATCCTTATATTCTCAGGAGCCCCAGGGGTTCCCCGGGTGACAACGGCTTGCTCTACCATCTCAGACTAGGAGTGGCAAGGCTGGCATTGCTGTTTATGTCTGCAGGGAGCTGAGTTCTAATTTTATGCCCACGTTTGCATCCACCTCTCATGACGACTACTGAACTTTAGAGAAGACACATCTCCCAGGCTGCAGGAGCTGGGAGTGCCAACATTTGGGATGTGGCCAAGACCTGGGACCCTAGAAAGCCACTTGGTGTCCCCACAATTCTGGTGGAGGAGCAAGTCAGCAAGTCAAGCAGGTCTTCAGACAGGCCTGGCTCCTCCCTCCTGGGGAGGGACAGGCTCCTCCACTCCCACCTTCTCCTTCCAAGTTGCTAGTATTCAATAATGAATAATAAACTGGTCGACCCAGAAATTCCACTTGTGGGAGAGCAACCCTAGATACAAACCCAAGCTGTTTCTGGAAGATGGGTGCAAGAGACACTGTGGGGGTGCCTTTATGGCTTTTGTTTTTGCGGATAATCAAGTGGGTTAGGGTCCACTCTCATTTTAACTTACCTCTTTGAAAGTACTCTTTGCAAATGTTGACACATCCTGAGGCACTATGCTAGAGTGCTCATCTCCACCATGTGAATTTTGAGGGAGCACAATTCTGCTCAGAACAAGCATGGATAGGGGTTCCCTCGTCACATTTAAGTCAGGAAATGATGAATTTACACTCCCCAATAGCATGTTTATCCTGTTCACAAAGCTGATGACAACACCACCCAAAAGAAAGAAGATAGACCAATGACCCTTCTGAGGATAGACCAATGACTGTTATGACCATAGACATAGAGCCTCTTAACTAAATCCTGACAGACAGAATCTATTAAAAAAACAAACAAACAAGAATATAAGCAGGTAAACAAGAATGTAAGCCATAACCAAGTTGGTTTCGTTCCAGGAATAAAACGTTGATTGACTTTTATACTAAGAATCCAACCTATGTATATTATACCACATTAACAGATTTAAAAAGGAGAAGCATATGATATCTTGGATGTAATCAAACCAACCAAGAAACACCATGTGGCAAAATCCAGATTCATTCCTGGCAAATAAATCAATAAATAAATTAGAAAATTGAGATCTAAGTTCAACTTGAACTATAGTCCACAGGCAATGTCTTTCCTGAGGCTGAAAAGTGAATGGGGGTGGAGGGGGGGAGAGGGGAAGGGAGAGGAAGGGGAGAGAAAGAGATGGAGAGGGGGAGGAGAGAGGGAGAGAGAGAGAGAGGGGAAGGGGAGTAGGAGAGAGAGAACTAAAACACACTAAGACCCCAAAGGATGCAACTGTCCCTAGACCCAGTGACACATATGGCCAGTCTCAGTGCTCAGGAGGCAAAAGCAGGCAGATCTCCCATGAGTTTGAGGCCAGCCTGAGCGATATAGAAAGACACTGACTCAAAAAGTAAGCCATTGCCACCACCACCAACAAAAGGATGCTTCTATTAGCATCAGTCGTAATAGTCCCCGTGAGGATTCTTGCCTGACCATTGCTACTGCCAGTCATGTGCTCGGGGTCCCACCCTGTCAGGATAGTGTCTTCACTTGGCTGAAACAGACTTCTGATGACAGGTGGAGCATGTTTATAAACTGGAAAAGAAGGGCCCAGCTTCATCCTCAACCAGAGTGACCTCAAAGGACACACAGGATACGGTACAGTATGCATTGTGATAATTAAAGAAGCCCAGATCTAGCCAGGCATAACGAGCTGTGTCTGTCTGAAGTCCCAGCACTCAGGAGGCAGAGACAGGAGGATCACAGGTTCAAGGTCAGCCAGAGCTACATAGTGAGACCAGGTCTGAAAACCAAAGCAAAAAGCTTTCTTCAGTCTGAGGAACTCCTACTACTAAGATGAGGGTACTAAGTTCTGGATGGTTCTGATAAGAGATGACCCATCCATTGACCCAGTATCACTTGAGTCCTCCCTCATCCTCAGGAAGATGAATCACCAGCAGCTTTGTCCCAGTTTTACACACTCACCTCGGTGCTCGAGCAATGAGATCACTGTTTAACATTTTAGAAGAAGTGGTATCTCACACTGTGATCTCAGTGATTAGGAAGGGAAAGCCAGAGGAAGAAGGTTGAGGGTTCAAGACCAGGCTGGACTGGCACAGACTTCCCAAACAGCCAGGCAATGTAAGACCATGTCTCAAAAAAAAAAAAAGCCAACAATCATGTAGAATC